TGCTAAGCATAGTGAAATCATGGACGTCAATGGCGCAGGACTTAACGTCCATCCTGATAAGCGGCCATGTTATCTGGACCGTATAAATATCCGATCAAATCAGTGCTGAGATCATTGAACGAGCTCGTCCTCTTTTCTGAACTATACTTGCCGTCTCACATCGTGGAGTGGGAGATCTCCTTGATACCAATCAGTTTTTCTGGACTTCCCTACACACTAAGGTTTACAGCTTGAGCCCTCAATATCCGTTGGAATCGACTGGGGCAATTTATGCGTTTCCTTTAATTATAATCAGGCGTTCGACCCTGGCTCATCCTCCGTTAAGACTTACTGCTAACATGGTCTAAAACTGGCATTGAAAGTTTAGCTTTATAAAGGGAGTCAACCTGCTTAGGCTCAATCTCGATGCGGGGCGCATTTTCTGCTTTTATTTTATCATTTTGCCCAAGTTCGCACGATTATTCCAGTAGGTAGAAGTTACCGAAGATTCTACCCCGCTAACTCATGCCGTTGGCATCTCCATGTTTGTTTATTTGAAACCATTGAGCCATATATCAGCTTTTTGGTAGGCCGATTCAAGTCAAATGAGCATTCAAATAATGTTCCGACTAGGAATGCAAGTCAAACGTATGGCACAAACACCGGAATGAGATCGCCCTGATGCTCAATATGTATATTCTCGACGAAGTTCTCGACCCTAGCAACAGCAGAGTTTTAAGTCTGAGTCTGACTTTTCCGGGGAACGTTTTTTTTACTCTCATAAAGTACGCAAAGTATAAATGGATCACTCTGACGAGGGAACTTCGCCTAAACCTTTCTGGCAGTGCGGCGATACTCATAGACTCTGGAGCTCAAGAAGCTTCGATATCCTCGCAATCCTTGTCCCCTTCTGACTGCCTTCTAGAAAAACCCGTCTTGCGACAATATCTCTTCGCACAACATATTTTGTTAGTCTCCTTGTTAGTAGAGGAACACCACTTCGAGTATTACATCTTTCAGGTATGAAAACAATTCTAGTGCTGGCCGCCCTTGTGGCGGTACTTTACGCCAAGTCGTTCACCATGGAGACCCGTAACACGGGATCACTCCGCGCCCGCCTTATCGCGTAAGTTCCGTTTAGATTACGGTGATAAAGAACTCGGGAATGGGGGTTTCCTATCCATCCAAAGGATTTGACTAAAACTATTCTTGAAAAAACATTTCTTGAACTCAATTCTACTCAGCTTTACTCACTGCTGATAGGAACAATGTGATTCAGCCCTGGTTGATTCCCCTCACGGACCAAATATACTAATTCACTCGAGTTTCAGGGCTAACCTCTACCAGAAGTTCTTGGAGGAACAGCACTTGCTACGCGCTCAGATCCTCGCCTCCGGCTCGCAGCCGTTCATCGACTACGCTGACGATTTCTACCTCGGAAACGTCACCGTCGGAACTCCCCGTGAGTTTTTGGCTACCCACTTACGTGGTTCTGACCGAACGTTTAAGGCCCTAATAAAAGGCCGATATTGTTTTAGCCCAAACCACCACTTTGGTTCTCGATACTGGCTCATCCAACCTTTGGGTAATTGATGCCGCTTGCACAACTGCCGCTTGCAACGGTCAGCCAAGCAGCGGATACAACAAGCACAAGTTCGACACCACCAAGTCGTCCACCTTCACCAAGGAGACCCGCAAGTTCTCTATCGAATACGGATCTGGATCCTGCAGCGGATACCTCGGCACCGACGTCGTCGGCTTCGCTGGTATGTCTTTGGGGCTTCTAGATGAGTAGGAACAAAAATCACTTAGTAAGCATTGATGTATCCGGCTTATCCTGCTCTTAATACGTACACTCTTCAGGTCTGTCGATCCCCAAGCAGGAATTCGGTGTCGCCACCACCCTCGCTGAAGTTTTCGGTTACCAACCAGTCGACGGAATCCTCGGTCTCGGATGGCCAGCTCTCGCTGTCGACAAGGTTATTTTATCTTCTGCGGCGACCTTTGAGCCCAGCGATGTTGAGACAATCAGATGTGGCGACACAATGAATTTTTAGGTCGTTCCACCCATGCAGAACTTGCTCAGCAGCCTTGACCAGCCCCTGTTCACCGTTTGGATGGACAGAAAGGTAGGCTACTGCATCTGTGGGCTCCACCACGTATGCCTTCTGACTTTGGGATTAGAAAATGCATTTTTAGTTGACAGTCAGCAACGGAGGTAACGCCGGTCTTATCNTCATCGACTACGCTGACGATTTCTACCTCGGAAACGTCTCCGTCGGAACTCCCCGTGAGTTTTTGGCTATCCTTCCCATCCACGGTGGTCCTGATCGATGGTAGACATTTATGGCACTAATCTCGCTGTTGTTTCAGCTCAAGTCACCACTCTGGTTCTCGATACTGGCTCATCCAACCTTTGGGTAATTGATGCCGCTT